AGAATCGCCTGTTTTAGATGTCCCCAATTTCCACTTTGATTTTCACCCCACAACTTTGTTAAGACTGCTCTGGCACTCGGACACACATAGTAGGTACTCAGTAAATACCACTTGAATAATTTCATACATACTCACAAAAAAACACTGCGATATGGGTATTCAGATACTCATTTTAGACGTGCTCTGGTTAAGGTCCTCAGTGGCCCCAACAGTGTTTTCATGCATTGATTAATTCTCAGTTTTTGTCTTCCTTAACCTTTCAGCAGCAATTAAGGAAGGGAGCACATCCTCTTCTTTGAAATAATTTTGTTTCTTGACCTTCAAAACACACTATGTGCATGGTGTCTCCTCTGTCTCATGGACCACTCTCTCTGCTTCTTTTCCTGGATGCTCATTTCCACTGGGGATGCTGCAGCTCACCTCAGATTTCTCCTCTCTGCACTCACTTCCTTGGTTGTCTCATCCAGCATTGTTACTTTCAATAATACCCAGGGGCTGTCAACTCCAAACGTGTATTTCTCCCCCAGCTCTTCCCTTAGATTTCTAATCTCAAATATCCACCTGCCTGCTCAACATTTCACTTGGATGTTTAATAGGAACGTCCACAAACATATTCCTGACCGTTCTCCCCAGTCCCATTCCTCCCACAGTTTTCCCTCTCTCAACTTCATCTTTTGAGTTGCTCAGGCTAACACATTTAGTGTAATCCTTGCTTCTTCTTTCTCTCATATCCCAGGCAAATCCTCAGCAAATACTGTTGGCTTGACACATATCCAATATCTAACTAACCATTTCTCACTGTTTCCACTGTTACCGTTTGGTCCAAGCTACCATCATCTCACCTTCTGTGACCCCTTTATGTAAAAGTGCAGCCCATTCTCAAGACTCTGGAGTGGCTTTCACCTTGCCATCTCTGCTTTATTACCCCTAGTGCACTTGCTGTCATTTTAAAAACTATATATTTTAATTTTTCACTCTTGATTTGTCCCTTCCCTAGACTGGAAGCTTCAAGAGGGCAGGGATTTTGTCTGTTATATTCAACTCTTTGTATCCCAAATGCCTAGGTACCCATAGTAGCTATTCAATAAATAGTAGGTAATAAGATGCTCATTTTAGAGAAGATGAAACCAATATCCAGAAAGTTGAGATAATCTGCTGAAGGTCATAATAGGAAGTGTATGAATTTCAATATGGACCAAGGTCCCTCTACTCCTAAGTCCAGATCCTTAAACAGTATACCATTCTGGGTTCGAGTCCATAGTTTTTCTCTGAACTCGTTTTTTTTTTTTTTTTTTTTTTTAATTTTTAGAAATTCTTTAAATTACTACAAGGCTTTGATCTTCTCATACACACACTTTTATGGCAGTTCCTTTCAAAGCCATAGCTCTATAATCAGTGCTTAAGTACCAAACCCATTCTACTGAGCCATTCTTTGGCCCATGTGTTGACTTGGAATTTTGTGACTGTATCATATTAGCAAGTAGTTCTTTACCATCTTGAATCTACCTGCTGTGAAATCTAGAATCGGGAAACTATAAGAAGCCTATGAAACGCAGAAGTATTCTTAAATCTAGATTCTAGCCACATGTCCTTTTATTACAGGAAAGTTCTTACTCCATCTAGTTACCCTTTCTTCAGACGGAATTCAAAACACTACATTTAGTCACCTAATAATTACTGAGCAATTTCTATGGTCAAGGCCCTATTTCATACACTCAGGACATAGCCATGAATAAAGCGGACACATTCCCTGCCCTCAAGGAGCTTACATTCTAGTGATGGAAAGGAGGATAATACTCAATATTAAATATGTCATGTGGTGAAAAGTACCACAAAACACAGGAGGGGGCTAACAAGGGACAGGAGGTACTCTGCTGATAAGGGTATAAAGTCAACTCCATTAGATCTGGGACCTTATTATTCTTATTCACCATTGGAACACTAGTACCTAGGAGAATAATAGCATATGGTAAGCACCAGGTGAATATTGTGTGACATTGTGAGAATGAATAAAGGAATAAATGAGTGATGGTGAAGAAGAGAGCCCTGTTAGGAGGTTACTGCAGTAGTCCAGGTAATAGCGGATGGTGGCTAGACACAGTCAGCAGCTTTGTAGATGGAAAGAAGAGGTTATAGTCTGGATGTATTCAGAACACAGATCCAACAGCCTTTCTTGACAGATTGGATAGGCAAGGCAAATTGGATTGGATTGAGGGAAAGAAGTCAGGGTTTGGATGATGCCAAAACTTTGGCCTGAGCAACATTTAATTGAAGTGTGGAAGTCTATGGGTGTGGTAGGTTTGGTGGCCAAAATCAAGTTTCTTTGGGACCATAAATTAAGTCACTGTGCGTCTCCCTCCCTCTCTCAGTTGTCTGAGATACCTAAAGCCAAGTACTGCTGTGTATCCAAGGAAAACCATTCAGAGTCATTCCCCGCTGCGTCCCCTCCTCACCCTCTTGGCCAGACACAGAGGCATCTTGTGTTGATGGCTGCCTTTCTTCTTACTCCTTGAATAAGAAAGGCAAAGCCAAGGAAGGCTTTTCCCTTCAAACTCATCTCACACTTGATTTTGATTTAAAAAGAGAGAGAGATGATGGTAGGGGATGAAAGAGGGAAAAGTGGCGTTTGTTTTACATTTCTGATGATGGCAACAGCTTGAATGGATTAGCTGGCTATTATGCATTCCTGGGCATGGCTTGTCACAGCAGTCTGATCTGGAGAAACACATCACAGGTCCTATTCTGCATGCTCTTGCAGGCAAACCTGACCTCAAAGAGTTTAACCAAATCTTGTCATTTGAAACAACACACACACACACACACACAATCAAGTGACCAAAAATATGGTATAAATCTCTTTAGTAGAGAGAGATCTGGATCATATGACCATAACAGAGGAGATAATTGGGATGCAAGACAGGCAAAGAAACCCAGGAAATTAAAAAAAAAAAAAAAAAAAAAAGGAAAGGTAGTAGTATTTCTTTAGGATTGTAAATGTCCCCTATATATTTTTGCTTTTTCAAAGAACTTGCAAGATCCCATCAAACAAGGGGGGTGGGGGCAGTAAAATCTATGGGAAAGATTCAGAGAGACCTCTGTAGGGTTTCATAGTATGTGGTTTGATTCTCTTTTACTCTGTTCTAAATATAATCCTGCTTATTTGCATGCCAATCCCCAGAATGCTTTGTAATTTCACAACTCTTGGCTAGTGGTCTCAGCACTTAAGCTTCAAGAACAAAGCAAAATGTTTAGGGCGTGCCTTTGGCTTCAGTCTTTTTTATCCCCCCTGTGCTTTGCAAAAGAGTTCAGGGAAGTGACCTTGCCTAGCATTATGCATGCACTAGCCAGAGTATCACAGAAAGGAAGTGGAGAATGCAGTGGACTTTCCTGTGAAGACTGCATTCAGTCCAGTTACCCATGAATAAACCCGAAGCTTGGATTAATTTGAGAAGGGAGTGTTCCCGGGGCCTTCGTCTCCCCCTTGATTATGTGACCAGGCTGGTTCATTTCAGGTTTCTGGAAAGCCCCAGCTGAAATATTCTGTACTCTCTTTCTGTGGATGCTTTTTATAGCTTCTGCATTGCAAAGTAAGCCTTCAATTTAATGAAAAGATGTCCTAAAGTGTGGTCAGTGTTGTGCTTAACAGAAACATGAATTCAAGATCTCTAACACGACCTAGTCCTGCTTCGTGAGATCTAAAGAATTTCTACTTAGTAGGGCATTGGGATCCACAGTTGAGGAGTGGGGATGCTGGGAGACTTGTCTTGAGAGGGTTTTTATAATTTTTGCATAGTAAGCTGTTGTTATTTAAATGGTATGATTGGTATTATTTTTCGGGAGAGCTGGAAGTTCCCTAGCCAACCACCACTCAGCTCCCATCCACAGTGGCCCCTCCAAATTCGCCTCCCTCGGCGATTTAATTTGAGCAGGTAGCTAAAGCACAACACATTCTAGCACTGGAAGGGCATGTTTTTGCTTCTGATAACATAGGGACTTTTGTCTATCAGTCCTGCTGCCTAAAGTAAACTCGGGGACGGTGAACAGTGCACGTGGTCGACTCACAAAATCCATGGCTGCACAACGTGCCTTCCCCCATAGGTGTTGTCAACTGTTTACTCACGGAGCAACAGCAACGCTCCCTCTTCGATTCTGAGAACCAGGCAGTGGAGTCCCTTACATGTGATTGTGACATTTTTAAAATCCAGGAAACGGTTGATGTTAGCCGACTCGGTGCCCCTCGCAGCCCTCTGAGAGTGAGTGGGATGTCTAACATTTTCTGATACCTGTTCTCATGGTCTCAGGATAAGAGCGGGCCGGACAGGCTGCACCAAGTCTGGCCAGTCCTGGGCTTTTTAAGGGATCGCGCCGGCTGTTGACACACCCAGCGGCCAGCAGAGGCGGGCGGCGCCCAGCTCTTGGCTGTAACAAAGCCGGCGGCCGCCCCATCCAGCCTGCGAGATGGATGGCGGAGGGCGGGCCCCGGGAGGGGCGGCCGGAGCCGTCACCTTTCTGAAATGAGGGTAGTGATGGGGAGAAATCGGGCGAGGGGCTGGTAGGAGGCGTGGGCGCTCTCCGGATCTGGGCCCGCAAGGCCAGGGGGCCACCCCAGACCTTCTCTGCCTACACGGGGACTGCCGCATCCCCGCCCGGAAAAGTCCCTCGCGCCCCCTGGTGGCCGTGGCGCGGACTGTCTCCGCCGCACTCACAAGTCACCAAAAAAAAAAAAAGGAAGAAAAAGAAAAAGTGGGTGAGGCAGATGCAAAGAGGAAAATCAATAGGGATAAGAGAGAAGTGGGAGGAGTCGAGGATCAGCCATTCTTGTCTTACGGGGTCCCAGCTGGCACCGCAAAAGAAAAAAAAAAAAAAGCCCGGGCGTGAACGCGAGTGGAGGAGGGTGTGTGTGGCGGGGGGGTCGGGGTGAAAGGGGGACCAGGGAGATTTACTTTTGTCTCTGGCAGCCGCCGCGGGAGCCCGGGAGGGGGGCGGAGGCGAGGGGAGGCGGCGGCGCGGCCAGCGCACCATTCGCTCCACCTGATCGCCGGGCGCTGTGCGCTGAGCAGGGCGCGGGCGAGCCGGAGCCGAGCAAGGAGCGAGGGAGCCGCCGCTCCGCCACCGCCGCCGCCGCCACCATGTCCTACCAAGGCAAGAAGAACATCCCGCGGATCACGGTGAGTCCGGGCGCCGCCGCCTCCCTCCCTCTCGCCGGTCCCGCTGCGCTGCAGGCGGGGCGGCTTGGATCCCTGGTCCGGTCCCCGGGGAGAGACGGGGACCCAGGTCTGGGGGGTGGAGAGCGGTGGTCAGTCCAGCCGGCGCGGCGGGCGCCACCCAGACGGAGCGACCCGGGGGTTTGGGGAAAACAAAACAAAGAGGAAACCCAAACACTGGCGCGGAGAATTTAGGATTATGCAGCCTCCTTTCCCACCAGCCGGTAGTTCCCGGAGAACCTTGGGCTCACGGCTCTCCCTGAACCCACGCTCCTCCTGGGGTGTCGGTGTGTGCTGCCCCAGGCCAGGGGTGCTTTTTGTCTGAGGTTGCTTTTGGCGGGGCGGGGTGTGGCGAGATGACACCTTTCCCCAGGGGTGCTTGGTAGCCCGACCGCGCCCCTCTCCAGCTCCAGCCCCGTGGTTCTGCCCCCCGCGCCACTGGGGTGATGGGGTGTCTGGATCATCCGTCCTCACCCTGTCCCCTTTTTGCCTGCATTCACCCGATTCATATTTCAGTGCGTCATATTCGGGACTGGACAGCTAACGTGGCTGGAGCGGGAATGACAACTGTTGTTCTTTTTGCTCTCGATGCATTTTACATTTTTTCATGTCCTTTCTCCTTCTCATTCCAAGAAAAGGCTGAGTTTTCAGAGCAGATTTTAGTTTGCAGCCGCAGACACACGCTGTGTGCATGCCGTGTCCAACTGCCATTGTGTGTGAGACAGAGCCACCCTTGGCCTGCGGGTGTCAGATGGACTGGGCGAGCGCCTAGGCGGGGTTGAGAAGGGACGTGCCATTAGCAGGTATTCAGAAGCTACATTTACACCAGCGTCCAGCAATGATGCTCTGGCAGCAAAATACTGAGCCCTGGGCTGGGATTCCTCCAGGATACCCTGAAATGATGCCCCCAAATGGAGGAGACATACTACAGTCTGGAATGGGCATTATTTAAAAAAAAAGCAAAGCAACAAAAAACCACTGACAATCGTTAGTTAAGCATGAAGCAGTGCAGTTGTGCTTTGTCTGTAGTGAATGAGGTGTGTGTGGTGTGTGGTGCGGTGCGCAGTAAGGGAATGGGTGGCTACTCCATCTTTGCAAGGCAAACAAAGGAAGTGATCAGCTGGCCCCTGGGAGGCTCTGCAGCTGCCCTAGGGCAGAGATGTACCTGCGACTGTAGTCAATTTGCCCCAATTCGTTAGGTTTTGCTGTGGGCACGAGTCTGTTTGCACTTGTTCGGTTATGCTTGGAACACCCGGTGCATTTGTGATCGCGATGCAGGACCTTCCCCTCTGTAAGCAGGAGGCTGTTCTTGCCTCTAGTGCACTTTGTTAAGTGGTTTTTTTCCGTTGCAGCATCTACCTTTTTCATGCACCTGAGCTTCATTCCACACAAGTGTGCCCCACCCCTAACTGCTGTTTACCAGGTCCCAGAGAAGAAACATTTTGGGGATGGGTAGGGATCCTTTTGCCAGGTAGAAGTGACAGGTTTAAACCCATCCTCCTTTACCATTCATTACCTGATATCATCAACTTGACGTTATTGAAGAAACACTGTGGGTCTTTTACAGTGCACGGTATTTCCTCGGAGCCAATTGTTGCAAAGAGCAGTGGAAGGAATCGTAAATAAAAAAGACCGATTAGGACAAAAGCTCCATTTCTGTACTTATTTCCCTAACTTGGGAGAGATGAACCCTGGCTCGCATGCGGTTACCTGTGGGAGGTATGTGCAGAGAGGCCACTTGCTTTACCTCCAGTATGCATGTGCCAGTTCTCCTGTATGGGATAAGCAGAGAACAGATTTCTTTTCTTCCCCAGTCTGAAGATTGCAATGGTTCTTATGGACCTAGCCTGTGATATGGCATTGAGGGCCACGCCCATTCTTCTAGGCATCACTAAGCCACCTTTAAGGAAAGATACAGAGATTTAACCCTGATAACTTACTTGCCTTCGAAGCCACCATGTGCATGGCTGTGTCCCAATCCCAGGGCCAGGTTTGCAAGGGGTTCCCTTTTGTTCCTTTTTGGATGCTCTTCCCTGGGGTGCATCCTTCATCTTCAGTGCAGTTTCCATCCTTTCTCTCTGCGCGTGGGGCGTGGTGCTGCATAGCAGCCTCTGCTCGTAGCTGGGGCTGTGTCTCCAGCAGTTGTGACAGGAATGTATAGTGGCTGTGAATTTCTGCCACTCAGGTGGCCTCATATTCATTGTTGAAAGTGGGGGGTGGGGGTGGAGAAGAGGGTAGGGCAGGAGTTGGGGGGGTGCTGGTCTTTGGGAGCAAGAAATTCATTTGTAGATTTTTTTTATGCTTTGTGTTTCTATTTCCATGAAAAGGGTTCTATTTCACAATAAAATGCTTTTGCATGTCTAGAGATGATTATGGTTCTCTAGGTACTACAAGGGTTGAGATATTTATCGTCATAGGTGACATAAAATATGGACACAGATATAGATATACAGAAAATATGATTCAAGATTTAAATAAAACATATATCTCTTACTGTCAATTATAGTACATTTTTAATGGTAAAATTATAGAATTTGAATTAAGTTTATTATCCTCTCCATATTCCTTCCTGTGAAGGCTGCCCCACCCAGTAGCTAAAATGTCACTCTAGTCTGAGGATGGATGGGGGCAGTCTTGGTCCTGTACCCTTTACCTTCACAGACACCACCTTCTGCCACAATTGTGGGGGCCACAGTAAGGTTTTGTTTGTTTGTGGTCTTTCCTTCCACCTATTTGTGCTGCTCTCCTGAGATTAAAGCCTTCTCAATACCCTGTGTTAATTGGCTTCTTGGAGTAGGTAGGGGTTTCTCTGTGGCTGGTAGAATCGGCTGGGGCTTTTCCTGTGAGTATCTCAGGCCTCAGATGTCACTGCGCCTTCTTAGGTCACCTCTGTGCATGACCTGAACAGCCTTCCTCAATACAAATCCTTGCTACTAGATGTCAGGGACTGGCATTTTGGAGGTGGTGCAGCAGATCAGAGCAGGGACCTTGTATTGTCATTCACTTCTGTCTCCACTCACTAGCTCAGTGCCTACTACATAGATACCTAATGATGAGCCTGTAAAACAATACACGAATTCAAAAGTGTTTCTAATGAAAATAGCTTACACCCCTTGAGTGTTTTTTCATGCCTTATTTCATTTCATCCATGAATCAACAGTGAGAGGTACTACAGTTGTCCTGGTTTTATAGATGGAAAGAAACCCGCGAAAAACCCGAAAATCAAATGCATACGGCCCAGGTCAGAGCTGAAATGTTTGAGGCAGGACAAAAACCTACACACCTGGCTGAAATCAAAGTACACGTCTCTGCTTCTGCCGTCACTCTTACTTGGGGTTGGTAGGGCAGATGGTGTAGAAGAAAGACCCAAACTCCACTCCTGGTGGGACCTGTGAGCATATTTTCTTGCCATGTTCAACCAGTTCAGTCACATGGGCCCTCTTACTTTTTGTATTTGATAAATATAAATACTAATTTTAGGGATGGTGGCGCCCATGTCAGTGCTACAGGTGGAAAGTGTAGATAATTAGTCATTGTTTTCCTCTGGAGTAAGCCACAGTCGAAGCTGACCACAGAAGTGCGTAGGGAGCTAACACCTAGGTGTCCGTGTTTTCTGTGGATTCTCTTAGCAGAGTCTCCGCAAAACCCCACTTCACAGTTAAGGAAATGGAAACACAGACAGCGAGGTGGTCAGTTATTCAGCGTTACACCGTGGGAATGAAACCAGGCCTCGTCGGACCTCCCAGCCTCCCAGAGGGGTGTGCAGCGGAGCTTCGAAGGTGTGGATAAAGAGCTCCTGAATCCCCTCTAGGAGACCAATCACAGAGAACTGGGTTTTGCAAACCCTAATTTGGATCTCCGTAAAGACTGACAGATAATGCCTCTCCATTGCCTTGGACGTTGGGTCGTGTTTGAGAACGGCCGGAAGACATCCTCAGTCCAGAAGAGTCCGGGGAGAGCTCCGTCTCGGGCTCCTGGGCAGGGCACTGAGTGGGCTTGTGAGCCTGGTGGGTGCCATGGGGATTTTCTTTTGTTTGGAGGGGAAATGAGGGGGGGATTATGAACTTGGAGGAACACCCGGGTCTCTGCAACAATTGAGCAGGGGGAAGTGCAGCCCCATCCCTGGATCTGTGCCTTCCTCTTGCTCCCACTTTGGATTGGGAGCAGATAGGAGGAGATGAAGGACCAGCGTTTGGGAGACCGAAGGAAGAGGTCACCCAAAGCCAGCTCTATCCATGTAAGGCTTCTTGGAAGGGCAATTCCAGCGTAAAAGACCCAGGAAAACTATCAATGACACAGGGATGGAATATATCTTAGGTATCTAATCATGGAAATCTAGCCCAGGCCCTGCCTGGGGTGTTCATTTTTCATTTGCTATTTTGTCTTTTGAGCAGGTACCTGTTGATTCTCAGCCAGATTATCCCTCTTTTTCAAATAGTAGCAAATCGCTTCAGGTGAAGAAAGAGCTGTTAGTAGCTGATGGAGCCAGCTGGGCACGTGGGGAATTCTAGGGAAATGGACTTCCTGAGAGAATGGAAGGCTCTGTGGTAGGACGGTCAGTTTATAAATAAAAACCCACTCTGCTTATCTCACTGAGCTGTTGGAGGTTCAAACGAGGGAGGGCCCTTGAAAGCGCTGTGCACCCCGGATGTATTCGAGAGAGTAAACACTGATGTATTTGTAAAATCTCAACCTCTTTGGAACGTGGAAATTATTAAAGGAAGACTTGACAAAGGTCTGGAATGGAAAGAGACTACTTAGGAAACTTCTTAAAATACAACTTTCCAAAACAAAAATTAGCACAGGGTTTTATTAAAAAAAAAAAAAAAAAAAGTTATTTTTTTCCTGTTCTAGTTCTGTGGCAGAGTTCCTCAGAATTATGCTTGTCATTCATTTGTGACAATCGGATAGAGGTCATTAGACCGCCTCTGGACTTTGAGATAGAGACTCCCCCTTCACCTAAA